TAAATTTTGCAACGAGAAGCTCATGATCTGAGCCACAGTCAGCTCCTGGTCTAGTTTTTACTGACTGTATAGAGCTTCTCCATCTTTGGCTGCAGAACACATAGTCAATCTTATTTCTGTGTTGATCGTCTGGTGATGTCCATGTGTAGAGTTGTCTCTTGGGTTGTTGGAAAAGAGTGTTTGCTATGACCATCGTATTCACTTGACAATATTCTACTAGTCTGTGCCCTGCTTTATTTTGTTCTCCAATGGCAACGTTGCCTGTAATTCCAGTTATCTTTTGGCTTCCTACTTTAGCATCATACCCTTGTAGGTATCTCTAATTTGATTCCAGTTAATTTCAGTGTGTCATCTCAAAGCAGGACTTCAGTTTGTTTTCATCTTTGTATTCCATGGTTTTCAGATGTAGCAGTCAATTGAATTTGAACACTGTCATTCACTTCTCCTGAAATCAGTTATGCCAGTAACGGTTTCATATCTGTCTTGCCCACCATCAAGCCAATTTAAGAGCAAGTTTAGAGCCCTTAACATGTAGTTTATAAAAGAACTGAAAAGAAAAAGTATAACCTGTTTCCAACTATTGTACATTAAAGCATTTATTGGAATATAAGGCTTTTCTATGTGGGGCTTTTAACCTACCACTTTCCAAGGCTTCTGGGTTCTTTGAGGGATTATGATTATCATCTTCAACCCCTTTTAGCTTCCCCCCCTCTATTTTTCTGTATGTTCCACTTCAGAACCACTAGGTGGCGCTGTAGTATAGCAGAAGTGCACAAATAAACAAGGATTTCATGCCATTGTTTCCAGAGAATACCATACTTTCCTTGATCTAAAAAATACCATGGAAATGGTCGTAAAGATAGGACAGGCCTTAAAGGACGAGGGCATTGTGTAAATTATTCACAGAATACTGTGCCTAAGGAATCACAATAGCCTCATGCAGAAAAGCTCTCAATAAGGCAGAAATTAAGGAGCCATCCAACTGTGCTAACATCTCAACCAGAAGTACCAGTTTTCTTACAAAAGAGGTCCTTATTCTCCTTGATTGAAAGAGACAGTGTAGTGTAGCAACTAAAGCACTGCATTTAGTACAGGAATGGAAGTGAATTGTTGCACTTTTCAACATTCATGGGTAAAGAAAAGATAATATTACTGAATCCTAGATTTCTATAGTTGAAAGAAATTGTGGAGGAAACTCAAGTAGCTTTGCATTATGTTTCAGATGTTTATTCCCTCACCCTGCCTCTCACAATATTCTCAGCTGTGGATGGTAGGAAAGCATGTACACAAGTTTCAATCCTTGCAAACTGATATTTAGCATTAAGATAATTATGAGCTGGGTTTCAAGGATCCCTCATACTTTAATTTCAGAATGTAGAAACTGTTGCAAGCTGGTTTAAAAGAGAATTTTATGTTGTGAAATGCTTTCTATTATGCAACTTTCATAATTTCTGGGCATACCTGGGAGGATCCGCTTGGTAGGTTTTCTGGCTGGACGTGGTAAGGCACTCCTAAAGTGTTAAACGTGGCTTGAGACTGGATGAGGAACTGTTCCAGGGAATGCTGTAGAAAAAGAGGCAAAAACAGGCATTGTGTGAGCCTTATTAATGGAGAGCAGGTGGAGAAGAGATTTGGTGTGGATAAGCAGTGCCGATTGTAACCTAACTTTGGACTAGTAATTAGTATAGTTGGCTAGGTGCTATTGCAAAGGAGGCCTGTATGGTTTTCATATGGGAATGAATGCTTTGTATGCATCTCACAAGAAAAAATACAAAAACAGTGCAAGAGTTATATCTGAATAATAATAAACTGAAACTTTGTCTAACTCAGTTTGCTACTTACCAGAGTCTGCAATTTTATCAGAATTTGCAGAACATTAAACATGCGTTAAATAATATTACTTCACAGGAGGTAGGATTTGCTTTAATGGGTTTATGAGAGGTCTATTGGCCAAATGGTAAACATCTGGGTAAAATGCTAGCACATCATTAAGCAACAGAACATAGTATGATATGTGACTCTCCCATAGATACAGAGTTAAAGCCATATTCTGGCTTATATAGTATAGGTAGCAAGTATCAGGCAGAACATGGATTTTTGTTTTATATTTTTGCTCATGTTGATGTTCTGTCTCTAGCCTCTCAATGACGGCCGTTTCTTTCAGCTCCCTTGCAGTATTTTCATACAGGTTTGCATTTGAACTGGTATATTCAAACGTATGTTCCTGAGTGAGTTTGTTTTATTGAAATTATATTAAAAAAAGTTTAAAAAAATAAAAAGTTGGACTAGGAATTTGCTTTGAAGGGGAGAAGAAAGCTGACATACTGACTTCCAGCTGAATTTGTTTCCGTGGTCCATTGACTATAGTTTAATTTAAGCATGTGTGACCAGAACAATCGCATGTTCTTCCCCTGTTGTTCCTGCCTCCCTTTTCTCCCTGTCCGCTGCTGTATCACCTGTTTTGAATCTTAGCACAGAAGAGCATCAGAGCAGCTGCCTTTTCTTGTTTCTCTGAAGTGCCGCACACTGACACGGGGGAGGGTACTGCACCAAGCTGGCTCTGCACTTGCTCTGCTTTGCCTCCTTCGGGCCTGAATTAGCTAGTTTACACCACCATGGGCAGGCTCTCTCCACTCTTTGGCCTCACAGACACAGAAGGCTATGGCCAGCTAAGACTCCAGTCTCTGTTTATCTGTATTTAGCACACGTCGCCATCCTCGGTGTCCTACATTGCACTCAATAACCCAAACAGTTCAGAGGGCATGTGGGAAAGGTTACAACTCTCTAAAGTGTAAGTAAGGAAGCAATTCAGTCCAATAATCCTACTAAGCAGATTTTTAAAAGAGAAGATTTAAAAAAATTGTTAGGGGAAAGACGGTCAGACCCCTAGCCGGCCTAAAATTTACAGTGAGTAAGCTAGGAAAGCAACTACACCCATGGCAGGGTCTCTTGTTGGCATTCCTTTTCAAGGTGGATGGAGAGGGCAAAGCAGGGACAACTACCCGAAGGATCACCTTCTTCCACATGTCCCTACTTGTCCACCAGGAGGTCCTTCTCAAGGAGCCATCTCTTAGGGAGGTAAGGGGCTAGAAGGGCCTTCTTGGTGGTTGCACCCCATCTCTGGAATAGGTTCCCCAGAGAGGTGCACCTGGCACCATCATTGTTATCATTTCAGCTCCAGGCAAAGATGTATCTTTTCTCTAGCTCTTTTAATAGTTGATTTTAGTGGTACTTTTGATTTTAAGCTGACACTATTCTTGGCTTATCATTTTATCTTAATTTTAAATGGTTTATTTAAATGTTTTTATGTAATGGTTTCAATTTGCTGGATCAGTTTCTTTATATTTTTGAACGATTTGTTAATGATCTTGCATCACAGATTTTAAAAATGTTTAAAAATGTTATTTTTAAACATTTTTATTTATTTTTTAACATAACAAAAATGTTATGATATTTTAATTGCTTGCAAGCTGCTCAGAGGGCCCAAGTGTGGGCTAATATAGTGGCATATAAATTGAAACAATGAATGAATGAATGAATGAATGAATGAATGAATGAATTTAAAAACCTTTTTGCCAGATCGGGCCAGGGGTGACACTGACTAACAGTTGCACAGGAAGGTATCAATACATGTATGCAGGGATGCTCATGAAGGAAGGCAGTGGCTGAGGCGTGGCTGAGGAAGGCTAACCCTTTCTGCCAGATGGCCTTGTGTACGTCTTGTGTACCTGCGTGGCTGCAGGACAGGATGTGGCAGCTTGTATCAACTGCAGGCTGCTGCCTCGGCTGCTACATGAGGACTTAACACTTCACCAGGGCACAGAGCACTGTGACAGCAGCCACTGGTCCTCTCGCTGCATGAGAAGAACAGCTACGTGAGGGCTGAGCTGTCTGCGGCATCTGCTCCAGCGCTGTCTCCACTGAACAGCCCAGACCTTTCTGGGGAAAGAGATGAGCTGATGCAACACCCTTCCGTGGGGCAAACCCGACTTCCTTACCTTCTCAAAGCTCGGCAGCCACAGCACTGCATGGATGGTCACCAAAGCTCCCTGCCCACTCTCCAGCGGCCCCACTTGGCAGCGGGTGGCAGCACAGGCTTGGCTGCTGCAGTTCTAAGGCAGATTAAAGCAAGTGGGTTACCTGCAGGCTAAATGGTCTGATTTTGTTCTGCGTGGGAGATATAATACATAGGCAGAGCTGGGTGTCCTCCCCTACAACCTCACTCCTTTTCCCTTCCTGACAGATCAAAGCGAAAGACTTCTGACTGTAGTCTTTCATCAAGTTAAGCTGGCAAGCCTGGGCTGTCTTCATGATAAAGAATTAGTAAATAAAGGTCATTAACAAGAAGCATCCATCAAGTTAACGATCCCTCTAATTGTATAGTTAATTCTGCTCATTCCAGAGAATTGACTCCAAACTGATTCCCCTTCTCTTCCATACCAGATGGAGTTGGTCCCACCAGATGGAGCTGGTCCTGCCTGGAGTTGGACCAGAAAGCAGGAGCACCAGATGTTACTTAATTGGTCCACTCATTTGATCTGTTGTCAAACTACTGCTACCCACATTTCCCTGAAGTGGAGGTGGTCTGGTTCTCTGCAGCTGCTTGGTTTATCCTGCAGCTTGTTGACTTTGGCAATTCAGCTGAGCATTTGGGTCCCACCTTTTATTCCAGCTCAGATTCAGAGTTTAAAATATCCACCTAGGAAAGAGTATCTGGGAAGAAGGAGGCCCAATTCTAAGACCAGGGTGCAATTCTGTAATCTAGATGTGCTGTTTAAGGGCTTTAGGGTGTGGCAGGAACCTAGTCTTGCCAATTAATGAAGACAAGATGACTTGATGGCACAATAAGCGGGTTAGGATGACACAACTACCTGTCATGGGCTGCTAACCTCAGACTGTGCAAACCCTGACTTTCTTATCTTGCCTTGTTTGAGGGCAACAAACCACCCAAGCAACCCTTGGATTGTTGTACCTACGATGGGTTGTGTAGCAGAACCTGAATGGCTGACCCCATTCTGGATATGGGCATCAACAGCAAAGCTCCAGGGCAAGAGCAGCAAAACTCCAAGGATGATGCCAGTGCCAAATGCCCCCAAGTGCTTAAGTGACTTTCCCCCCTCCCTTCCACCATGGTTAGCTGTTTCAAGCTCACTGGACTGTTTCCTCTTTTGACCTTTTTTTCCTCCTGGATGTTGATCCCTCTTTTAACAGCTTTGGGCAGCCCCTTAAAAGTGACCCCATGGCACCCTGAAGTAGCTGCCGATGGTTGTCAAGGCTTTAAAAATGCACAGAAGTTTTTGCACCAAACAAATCTTCCCCCCACCCCAAATGTTGGCATAGTTGCATAATTTGATGCCTCAGTTGGGGCAGTTTCCATGGCAGCTGCCCAAAAGCATTTTCCCTCCTCTTTGCTTCCTCTTGAAGCTGTCAGAAGGCAATCTGTCAAAAGAAACCAAAACCGCAAGAGTGTTTTGGATATTAAAAGGCATGTTTTGGGATGTATACCTTGTTCGTATCAAGATTATCTTACCTACCACCACCTTCTAGTCTCTTTTCTGGAGCACTTTTTGCACTGTGTGCTGAGCAGTTATGTGATTGGCTACAAACATGCACACACATTTTCTAGGGAAAAGTGAGTTTTCATCGCTTTGACAGCAAACTGCCAAAACCACGGGCCTTTAAAAAAGGGAGGGGGGCTTTGATTGAGACATGGGGGTATGTGTGTCCCAGTCAATCCCCCCTCTTCCCAATCAGATCCTTGTCTTAAAAGGACCCCTAGCTGTCAAAACTCCTGTCTCCCTAGAAAAAGGGGGGGTGCATATTTGCACAACCAGACAAACAAAAGCCTTACCAACCATGGGCAGCCCCTCCAAGGTGCCCATGCACCACTCAGACGGAGCTGCCCATAGATGCTGAAATGGGGGTCTCTACAAAAGAAAGCTGTAGCAAGCCTGATATGTGATTGCACTGGGGAGGGGACAGTTACTTTGGTCTCCCACAGTGTCCCTTGGAAAACCCATAAGAGGACCAAGGAGAGAGAAGCAAGCGAAACCCTCCGTGAATCTGATCATCTGTCAGGCTTGCTGCGGGTTGTTCACTCAGGAGCCCCCATTCCATTCCAGAGACGCAAGTAATGGATGGCATACAAATTTTATAAATTAAAAAAAATGCCAGGGACATGCAAACATGCCTGTTGCCCTTTAATGGGTAACGCTGACAGCTCTCCATCTCCTTAGTTATCGTGACATGAGGGTGGCATAAGTGGCCTATTGGTGTAATGAGACCACTGAATCCCCTTGAGCGGAAAGGAGACACTGAGTGTCTGAAGCATTCTGAATATTATGAATTCCCTCCATGGGTGTCCGGGGATTGTTCAAGTTAAGTACTTACATTGCAGGCAGTGCTATGCTGAATTTAGGGCAATTCTAACAAGAAGGATGTTCCTGTCATTCAGATCTGTTGGGCAACACTATGAAGCTGGCCAGGTCCCGTCCCCCACCCTCGTCTCACCACCACAGTGGGCTCCTCCACAGTTGCTGGGCTCACAGCACGCCTCTCACGCCTGCGATGTGGCTGGGCAGTCATTCTGTGGCTGGGAGCCGCCGTGGGCTCGTGGACCTCCAGCTACAACAGAAGGGGCAGAGTTCAGGCAAAAAGCAAGCAGCTGTTTCTCAAAGGCAGCAATGGAAAGACGCTTTGGGCAGGGTTATGATGGATGGCCTGGCACCATTTAAAAGCTGCAACTGCATGGGAAGGGAATTGTTTGCATTATCTCTGCCAAAACCTGCTGGGGTCTGCATTCTAGCAATGGGTACAGCCACATCTCCAAGTGGGCAGAGCTACAGATATCCCTCTTAAACTTGCCTGGTGTACAGAGGAGGAAGGGAGAGATATTTGTACCCAGGCATTCTTCACCTGCAATGTGACTCACTCAGGCAGGCAAAGGAAATACAACACATAAGTTAGAGTAGGATGCGTCCTGGCTTAAGACACCTGAAAGGCCACATTAGGCATTTGAGCCCCTGCTCTGTGGGGTCTTCTGATTCTGCTGTACCTTTTTTTGCTTGTGCCTCAGAACTGAGCTCTGAATTCTACATGAAAAGAGTTTCCTTTCCTGGCTTTCTGCTACATAAATTTAGGTGGTACTGTAGCATCATATTGTCAGTACATAAAGAGCACATTTTCTTTCATTTTTATAAACAGTACTCTGCTTTCTCTCTCCAAAGGTGCTCTTAAAAAAGAAGTGAAGCTGAATGTTACCTAAAGAATCTGTGAACAACCATGAAGAAGAAGAAGAAGAAGAAGAAGAAGAAGAAGAAGAAGAAGAAGAAGAAGAAG